TGCACACGCACACACACACACACACACACACCAGACCCAGGTGCTCTGACTCCAGATCCCTGTTACCATTAAGTCACATTGTTCCCCATTTCCCCCCATAAAACACAGTGCTGAGATTTAATGACCTCTAGGATCTTGCTGCTCAAAGTGTGGTCCCTGGACCTGCAGCACTGGCATCACCTGGGAGCTTGTTAGACTTGCTGAATCTCAGACCCCACCTTGGACCTACCGACTCAGAATCTATATTTTAAAAAGACCTTGAGGTGATATTTGTAGGCACCTGAAGTTTGAGAAGCTGCACCCTAAAACATATCCCTTCTGACACTGTTCTGTGACCTCTGCCTGGTGTAAAGCGTCTTTCTCATTGTGACAATATGACTCCTTTGTACCTCTTCCTAACCATTCCATTGAAGTAGGGCTCGGAGGAGAAGTATTTTCTTGTTCAATAGACGAGGTTGAATGCTTCTCCACTACATGCCCTATGGGTCCCAGGAGCCACATGGAGGGTTTGAGGCAGCGGCTGAGCAGATCCTGCATGTGCCAGGTAAGGGACAGCTGTTGTCTGGGTAGGGAATTCACCTAGGGAAAGACGTCTGTATGTATACCTCACCCAAGGGCCTTTGCACTGCCTTTCTCCTGCCAGGAATGTTTCTCACGGCTGGTTCCTTTCTGTCACTCAAATCTCTGCTCAAAGGCCGCCTCCCCAAGAAACCTCCCTGACTCTCCATCAAAAGCAGTCCCCACCCACTCCTGTCACAATCTTATCCCGTTGGCTTCTCAGCATTTATTACTTAAATGATCTTAAAATTATCTTCTACAATGTTCACCTGCTGTCATCTTCGCTCCCCTCTGACAGAGGGGCTCGGTGAGGGCAAGGCCCATGTGTTTCTGGTTTATTCCTGTGTCTCCAGAACCTGGAACACAGCCTGGTACTTAGTATCCACTCAATAAATACTTGCTGAATGAATGAACGACTGAAGCTCTTAGAAGAAGTGCCCATCTGGCGCCAATAGGTTTCACAATCTAAATTACCCAGAAAAATAAATGGATGATTTATTTTATTTATTTATTTTCAAAATATAATGTTTTTAAATTAATTAATGTATTTATTTTTGGCTGCTTTGGATCTTTGTCGCCGCCCATGGGCTTTCTCTAGCTGCAGCGAGCGGGCGCTACTCTTTGTTATGGTGTGTGGGCTTCTCACTGCAGTGGCTTCTCTTGTTGCGGAGCACGGGCTCTCGGCGCATGGGCTTCAGTAGTTGTAGCACTCGGGCTTAGTAGTTGTGGCACACAGGCACAGTAGTTGTGGCACTCGGGCTCAGTAGTTGTGGTTCGCGGGCTCTAGAGCGCAGGCTCAGTAGTTGAGGTACACAGGCTTAGTTGCTCTGTGGCATGTGGGATCTTCCCGGACTAGGGCTCGAACCCGTCTCCCCTGCATTGGCAGGCAGATTCTTAACTACTGCGCCACCAGGGAAGTCCCGGATGATTTATTTTAAAGGGGTTATTCTTACACACTTGAAGTAGGAAGCCATCTCATGCTTAGTGGGGGAATTGTGCCCCAAAAATAGCAAAAACAGGGGCATAGTATCATGGAAAACTTTCAGCCATGGGCTTGCCAACAGAAGGGGGGATGGGTACAACCAGATGGGTACCTGGAACCTTCCAGAAGGAACAAGGATAGCAATGTGTAACTTGTCTGCTTCCCTCTGTGCTCTCCATCGGGCATTGCAAAACAGGCCCCCGGAACACCTCTTGTCTTTTTCACAAAAAGAGAGAAATTGAGGAGAGGGGCTTTCCAGAGAGACTAGCAAAATCTCCCAGGGCCCCTGTTCATTCTGGAAATCCTTAAAGCACCCTCTGGGACTGGTAGAGCCTAAATCTGTCCTGGGAGGGTCAGCTACCCAATGGCCGGCCAGCCCGCGATGCTTTGGGAGCGGCATTTATGTCTTAAAAGGCCACTTTTCGCGGAGAAATGCTGTGGATACATTAAGCTGTCGCCCGTTCTTTGGAGAGCCATTATTAATGGAAAACAATAGATTAATAGTTTTAAAATGCTTGTTCAATAAGTAATTTTTATGGCTCTGGATAGAGCTCATTAAACATTTCTGTGTGTTATTATAAAGAAGTTTTAAGCGTAAAATCATAAAGTCAATAATCAGAGAATTAGTCACAGCGGCCAGCCACAGGCCATTAGTTTTAGGCGCTGTCAGAGACACCTGTGGCTTTCGCAAGCGAGTTTCCTTTTCACACGGCCGTGCTGGCAGCGCCAGCAGCGCCAGGTGGGGTTGGAGAAATGACAGTGCCTGCTGCCTTCCATAAACTTGAGGGGACAGCAAGCAGGTGTGAGCAGCGGGGCGACAGGCAAATATTTACAAAGTGCAAACGTGAATGCAAAACTAAAACAATCCAGGTCAATTTGCACATCCAGGCTAAGATACTTTATTTCCCCAGTGATCTACCTTTCAGAGCTTCCCTCTGCCAGAGGCAGGGCCCTGATCGCTTGCTAAGATAGAGGTGGAAACTGCGTGCTTTTAGAGGAAAAGCATGTGACCAGAGAATCCCCTCCAGAAAGGCTTCCAGAGCTGTTTTTTGAAATAACGCATTCATCTCCTATCAAGTACACAACTGAGTCAAGCATTTGAAAAAGAAACCATGAGCTTTTAAAAATGACTTAAAAAAATCATGACAAAGCAGTATGCGATAATTATGGAAACTAGAGAAAATCCAAAGGAGATAATGAAAATTACCCATAATCTCTCTACCCAGAGACAGTCCTCTGTATATTTCACTCACTCAACAAATATTTATTGACAGCCCTCTATATGCCTGACTGCTCAAGGCACCAAGGATGCAGCGATGAGCAAAACAGACTCCCTGGCCCCATGGAGCTGACTTTGGGTGGGGTGACATGAGCCTTAAATATAACAAATAAGGTTAGAAGGTATCAAGTGCTACAGAGAAAGGAAGCAGGGCCATAGGATAAAGCAGGTCAGGGTGGGCCTCACTGAAAAGGAGATTTTTTTTTTGAATTTTATTTTATTTATTTTTTATACAGCGGTTTCTTATTAGTTATCGATTTTATACATATTAGTGTATAGATGTCAATCCCAATCTCCCAATTCATCCCACCACCAGCCCCCCGACCCCTGCCACTTTCCCCCCTTGGTGTCCATACATTTATTCTCTGCATCTGTGTCTCCAATTCTGAAAGGCAACATTTTTGCAAAGACTTGAAGGAGGTGGAGGAGTGAGCCATGCAGGTATCCAAGAGAAGGAGTTCCACACAGAGGGCACAGCCCATGCAAAGGTCCTGAGGCAGGACTGGCATGCCTGAGAAATGGCAGGGAGACCAGTGTGGCTGGAGCAGTGTGGCTGGGAGGGAGATGAGGAAGTGGGAGAGGAGGTCAGGGAGGTGAGGGGGCAAATCACTGGGGCCTTCAAGGACTTTGGCTTTTCCTCGGAGTGAAAAATGGGGAGGTTTGAACAGAGGAGGCACATGAGCTGACTTTGTTTTTTTTGTTTTTTGGGTTTTTTTTTTTGCCGTACGCGGGCCTCTCACTGTTGTGGCCTCTCCCATTGCGGAGCACAGGCTCCGGACACGCAGGCTCAGCGGCCATGGCTCACAGGCCCAGGTGCTCCGTGGCATGTGGGATCTTCCTGGACCGGGGTGCGAACCCGTGTCCCCTGCATCGGCAGGCGGACTCTCAACCACTGCGCCACCAGGGAAGCCCCTGACTTAGGGCCTGGCACACAGTAGGTGCTCAGTTAGTGCTCAGTGAGGTGAGTAAATGCTGATTGACCATGAATCTGACAGAGCATAAGCCCAGGACCCCTCAGTCGCATGGCCCATTACATGCCTACAAGACCATATGACTCTGTAACATTTGCAAAAGTAAGATATTTTTATATTCTTTTCCTTAAAGAGGTCCTTCTCCCAAATTGCATGAGCTGCAGGCCCCATACAACATGGACCCCATCCAGGGAGGCAGGTTTCAAACCTGGGGCTGGAGGGGTGGGCTCATGCCAGTCAGAGGGGGAACTGATGCTTCTTTGGGAACCAGGAAGACAAGGAGCCGCCCTGATTTAGGCGGCGGCCGATGGCCTGGGGGCTGGAGGGTTGCAGCTCCCTGGGCACACCTGTCGCTTTATTCCACCGCCTGGCCCCCAAGACGGTGTGAACTGCTCCACGGACCCTCATGTTTTCCTCTTCTCTTTTTCTCCTCACCTCCATTTCCTCTTTCCTTCATTTCTTTGTCTTCCTCCCTCAATCTAGCCCAGAATTTCTACCGGGGTTGTGGTCCATAACGGGGGAGAAATTTCAGGAACTAGCCTCTTCCTTCTCTTTCTCTTCCTTTCTGCAATCACCCTCTTTGACGTTCCCCACCTCCCACCCCATCAGTACACACTCTTCTCAGGCCCCACCACAAAGCCTCAAATTGGGTTCGTCCTCTGTGGCTGAATGAGGTCAGCCCCAGCATCCCCTGTGGGGCCCACTGGTTTGACACCTTTGAAGCTCCATCTGGCACACGATGGAATGAGCCAGGCAGCTCCAGAGTGGCCACATGCCTTTGGCTTAGTTATTTACCTCCTCTGAGCCTCAACTGCTTCATCTGTAAAATGGGAATAAGAAAGCCTACCCTATGGGATCTTTGTGAGGATCGAGGGAGACAAGTTGTGAGCAGATGCTTGACACCTGTCAAGGGATGTTCAGGCACAAGCCCCTGTTCTGTCCGGACAGGTTGGACCTTCCTGAAATCCACTGGCCCTGAGGGCTTCCCTGGTGGAGGCTGAACTGCTGGATTCCAGAAGCCGGACCCAGGTTTTGATCCCCGGCAGCCTCAGCTCACTTCCTAGCCTCTTCCATGAGAACTGCCCAGCCTCCAGTGGGTTGATGTTAATCATATTTGCTGTGAACAGTCACTGACCTATAATTGCAGCCTATTAACTGTGTTTTCCTCTTTCGTTTGCACACAGGAATCTTGTCCTACTTCTAGAAAGCAAATTACAGGTTGGAAACCAGAATATTTCAAAGGGGAGGTGAAAAGGTTGGAGCAGAGTGACTGCTACATAATGAAGTGTCCAGTGATCGCGTCCAGGCTGGGCCAAGAGAGTGTCCACTGCTGGTCCACATTCATTCAGCTAATGGGCTCAGAGGCCTGGGGGTGGGAGTAGGGGCTCCCAGGCTGGGCTTCTCTCCAGAGGCCGTGGCTCCTGAGCTTCAAGATGTGGCCGGGCCCACAGGTGGCAGCTGGAGGTGCCGCGTGGCATGGTTCTTCTGCAGACATTCATGGGCCCTGGCTGGATGCCCGGGTCCGCTGGGCTGTTGTCTGAGCAAACTGGGAGGAGATTGAGATGGAGTGGGAGTGGGGCTATTAAAGGTTCTGAACTAATATTCTCCACTTCCCATCGTCGCTGGCACTGGGGACAGTGGGAGGACGGGATTATCACCAAAGCTGCAATATTATGTCCTGTGTTCTTTTTCTCTCCATTGAAAAAGTTGCCAGTTTGCATGTTCCTTCTTGACCTGGGTAGTGCCGAGGAATTATAGACTTTTAGTCATAAAAGTACCTCCGTTACAATCAGGTATAATGCCTCCGTTTTAAAGATCAGGAAACAGGAAAGGAGAAATGAAAAGAGGAGTTTGGCACAAAAAGCCTGCTAATGACAATCACCATTCACGCAACAAGCATTTATTAAGCACCTACTATATATGCCAGGTGCTGTGCTGTTGCTAAGGGAACAGATTTGAATGAGACATGGAGCCTTTGCCCCAGGAAGGCTTTATAGCTGTGTTCTCATCTGGTCTGAATTTTAAAGCAGGTGTGTCTGGCAGGGAGCATCCCCGGACCACGGCTCAGAGGACCTGAGCTCCCCCAACTCTGAGCCCAGCTCACTGCTATCTTGGGCCGATGGGCAGACCTCTCTGAGATTCCTTTGCTTCCCAGTCTTAAGGAGAAGAGGCAGAGTGGCAAGGCTTCCTCTGCCTACTAGCCTTTTTAGTGGCACAAGTGGCCACACCAAGCCTGGTGTTGGTCCTCCTAAGAATCGCAGGGTCGGACCCCAGGATCCCCAAGCATTGCCACCAGCGCGTTCCTTTGACATTCCGGCGCTGGTCACTCCTCCCTCTGCACTGGGCCTGTAATTCTGGGAGCTGCCGCCAGGGGGACGGCGTTGCCCGTGTCGCGCGACATTGGGCTGAGTGGCTGAGAAAAGCAGGACCCGCTCCCGGCCCAGGGGCCTGCTTTATTTCCAACCACCTGCCTTTGAAGCCCGGATACCCAAATCCCAGCAACCTTCACCAAGCGAGGTATGGGCATGTGCGGTGGCCCCAAGTCCCGGAGCACAGATGCAGAGAGGTGGGCAGCAAGTACTCAGCACAAGATAGGTCTCCGCAGCCCAAGCCCCCCTCCTCGCCACCCCCTTCCCCCACCTGAGAACCTCATCGAATCGACTGATTCATTCCTGGTGACCTGCAGCCGCGGCTTCCGTGTCTGCACCTTGAACTTGCATTAAGTTTTAATTAAAGCCGTTTCACCGGCCTTGCCCTTGGCTAAATGCAGCTGTGGGCACAGGGCACATAGATATTTAATACTCTGCCTCTCTCCGCTGAAAGCGCAGGGTGCCCAAGGGTGTACCCAAGCCTTGCCCGCTCCCAGCGATCCGGCGCACTCGCTTAAGTGTGCCCACAGGCCCCGAGCGGGAGGCCGCGCAATAACTATTCATTGCCCTGGGTTAAGTGTGCCCAGGGGCACCCATAAACTCAATGCAGTGATTAGCGATTGCTCCCAGGGAAGGCTGCCCGAAGTCCTGCGGCCCTAAATATAGCCTCCGCGTGTGGCCTTAAAGGGCTGTGCGTTTTTGCTTTGCTCTTGATCTGTCTTCTCTTCCTTCTTGGAGCAGAACTGTCTCCCTCTTCAAAGCTCAGCCTCCGGGGGGCTTCCCTGCCTTCCTCCAGGCTGCAGTGGAGGACAGGAGTGGGAACGGTGGGACAGCTTTGGTGGTGGCAAAGGCAGATGCCCAATCCTCTCCATCCTCTCGCCAAACCTCAGGCATCTGTCCCATTCCTGCCCCTTCGCCCCGCAAGTGAAGGCAGCACCTCCAAAGACAAGGAAACAGCCAGGCTCACTGGAGGAGCTCCCCGTGGGCCATCGTGAGCCTGCTGCCAGGAGGGGCTCTCAGGGCCAAGGAGCAGTAGGGCTGGGGAGCTGAGAAGGCTGAGCTGCCTGGGGTGTCCTCCCGGTCCCTTTTGCTTCTTTCTGCTGCAGGGAGCCCCTCTCTGTCCCTCCGTATGGAGTGGGAGTGGTCTTGGGTGGGGGCATCACCGAGGCAAGTCAGTCCCCTCCGGCCTCATTCCTCCACACATTGTATAGCGAGGGGTGTTGGTCAGATGATCTCCGAGGGACCCTCGGCTGGTCTGTGACTCCTTCCTTGTGCCGAGACTTCCCTGCCAAGGTCTGAAGCAAATGCAAAGTGGAGTTTGGAGAAAGCAGAAAGAACTGAGAGAAGGGCAGGGTGGAGGGTGTGGGCTGCAGCAGAAGCTCCAGGAAAGGGGTCCAGCCCACACCATCACCTTCGCCTCGTCTGTGCATTTCTCAGATGACCGTCTGGGAGAACGGTCCCCCTGTGGCATGGCTGCGAGATTCACAGGCGGTACGGTGACCGACCATCCCAGTTTGCCTGGGCCTTTTCTGTTTTGGCACTAAGTCCCAGGGGGACCTGCTCAGTCCCCAGGAAACTGGGTTGGGTGGTCACCCCAAGTTCAGGGCCAGTGGTGAAAGTGTCTGTCCTTGGAAGCCCTCCCTCCACCATTGCTTTTTGGATCTGAAAAGGAAAGAGAAAGGGCGAGGGAGAAATGGGTGAACTCGGGAGGAAAACAAGCTGGGAGGACTGGGAGAGGACCATCCCGGCCGTGCGCCTGTGCTCCTGGCCTTGCCAGCTGCTCCCGGGACCCTCGCCGCCTCCTTGGCCAGGCCCAGGGTGGCAGCTGAGGCAACGACATTTCCCTGGGCCTGTTGACACTGGAGTCTCAGAACGTAAATGATGTTCTTGTCTTAATGAGCAAACAACCCAGCCATGTGGCTCTCTCGCCGGCCTCCTGCTGGGGTAATTGTCAGCGCTTCTGTGCTCAGACAGAAATGTTTACTCTCACCTTCGCTTACTGCTTTGCCAGGAGATGTTGCTTCCTTTTTGTTCTGCAGGTCTCCCTGCCCCTACCCCTGGGAAGCACCAGTGGACAGGTAGGTGGGTCAGGAGCAACTTTCTGGAAGGTTCTGCCAGGCCTGGTGCTTGGGGACACCCTGAGGCAGGAGGTTTTGGTTTCTGTTCTCCTTTGGAGAGTTGGTGGACAAGGCCAGCTCTGCTGGGCTCGCGTCTCGGCAGCCGAGGCTGGAAGCGTTCCCTGGTGTCCTGCAGGCAGAGGCCATCTGAGAGGAAATCTGAGGAGGGGTCCCAGCTTTGGGTTGAAGGCCTCTGAGGTCCTCCTCGTGCTAAGATTCTCTCTGCACAGTCTCCAGTGACGGGGAGCTCATTCCTTTGCAAGACCACCTGTTCCCATATTGCACAGATGTTTCCCCAAACTTTCCTTCTGCTGGTCCTCCATTCTCTGCAGCCCCCCGGAAGGAGCCAGTCCCTTCTCCATTTCACGGCCCTTTGAATGTTTGAAGTCAGTGAGCTTTTCCTTCCTCAAGTCTTCTCCTGAATTCCTCTTGCTAGTCCCCCTAGGATAGGGGCCGGGGACCCCTCTCTGTCCCCCTCCCACCCTCCAGGCACCCGCCTCTATTCAAGGCCCCGATGGCCAATGTCTCTCTGGAGCATTGCAAAGGGAACCGAGGCCAGGACTTAGGCTGGGCAGAGTGTGGGTCACCCTTTGGCCTTGCTAGTGGGGGTAACGGCTCATTGGGTCTTTCAGCCCCGTGGCGCACCTAGCATGTGCCCAGTGCCCCTACCAGGCGGGGAGCCTCAAGGCGTGGCACCCTCGGGGAGGCCCCGGAGAGCAGTCTGCCGGCGCTGCAGTGCCGATTCAAATGTCCACCTGGAGACCGGACAGATTTAGGCAGGCAGCTTCGAAAATTGGGCTCCATTAGTGTCAAGCGCTCCGCGTGGCAGATGAGCGGCTCCTGCAATCACGCATTCAGCTCGTCGTCCTGATCATGGTGGCAGGAGCGTAATTACCATCTCTTTAAATAGCCCAAAGTTGCCATGTAAGAGAAGACGGCTCACATGACATTTGCTCCGAGCTCGCTTTCCTGCTAAAAATATCCCGCCTAAATAATATATCCTGGTTGCACTGGAGCAACAGTCCCTGACCTGAGCTCTGGGACCCTTGGGGGTTCAGTCCACAGGCTGGTCCGAAGGTGGGAGTGGGGCCCTGTGGAGGGAGTTTGCTTCTGGAAGGAGCAGTTTCGGAGGCCACGGGGAGGCACTCCTGCCTCAGCAAGTGTTGCACACCCCCCAGGCCTCCTGCTGCTCGTGGGGAGCGGCTATGCCGTGTCTTTAGGAGCCGCTGGCCCACGGGGTAAGACCCAAGAGGGCCCCCAATGCCCATCCTTTCCGGCTACATCACTCCCTTGTCCCTCTTCTGTTCCTCCCTCCTCTGGCACCTTATGTCCGTGGTCCCACCCCACCTCGCCTCTTCTTAGCCCCAACCTTGGCCATGCGTTCCTGAATTGCTTGGGACAGAGAGACCTCGGGTCTTTCTGGCGGGTACAGGTGTGTGTGGAGCAGGGGTGGGGTGTAGAGAGTGGATGAGAAGTGGAATCCTCCACTTTTCCAAACCCGGGCTCTTTGAACTCCTGGGAAGTCCCAAGATGGCCTCCAGGGGGTCCGAGAACAAAGATGAGGGAGGGTCTGCAGTCTTCATCAGGTTCTTGAGGGCTCCATGCTCTGACAGAGGTTGGGTCCCTTGATCTAGACCCTGTATGTGATAACTATTTCGTTCAGCGTGGGGTGTGATACAGAGAGGCCCGGAATCTGGAAGACCATTTCCTACCTCCAGAAGAATTTAAATTCTAAGGAACTCTGTATGCAAAGTTAGGTACATCAAAGGCTTCATCCTGAGTGGGTAGGTCTGAGATGACTAAGACTTGACATTTGTATAGAATTTTATCATGGACGAGATTTCATGATGGGACTCTGGGGAGTTTAGGGCATTGGGGACGGCCTCACCAAGCCCCCAAACATCCCTTTCCTTATTCATGATGCTCGAAATCCTTTTACGTGGAGACAGATGCTTTCATTTAGCCAGTGCAGAGCTGGCTTTAAATGCCCCTGTGAGAGGGCTGACACAACGAAATTCTTGCTAAAGTGTAAACAACTGATACAAGCTTTATTTCTTAAGAGCAGCTTTGGTAATGGAAGGGGCACCAGGCTAGGTCACTGAGCTGAAGACAGTCTTGGCAGAGACATTTCTGCAACTTCCACGGGCAGCCCCGCTCGTAGCATCTGCTTCCTCACGGGTCTTTGCTAACGGCGGGATCCCCAGGTGTTTGGGGATGGTCTTTCCTTCTCTTCCGCATCAGTGCAGTCACGTTCCAGCCCAGGCAGTGATACCAAACACCAAGTAATCTCATGTCACCAATCCCGAAAGTGCCGGCCACAGGCGTGGCCCCTGGCTGAGGTCCTGTCACCACCCTTTCGTCCACGTGCCTGCAGAGCATGTAGTTTTCTGTGTCACGTGTCCTTCCCCATTCCAGTGTCATCCCAGCCAGAGATGGAGGTCTTGTTCACATCCCAAAGCAGAGACTGGATCTGGTCAGAAGAGGTTCCTACTTGGAGGAAAGCCTGAGCCTAAAATTCCCGAGTCCACCTGTTCCTTAACCTTCACAGTGACCGAAAACAGGGACTTTGCGTTGGTCGGCGTCCTGGCGGCTGGGGCACTCCAGGTCCAGGTCAGGGTCTTGGTGGTGGCATTGGCTGTCCTGCCCCTTCTGGAGACCCCTTCTCCTTGGGCCACTGATGCCATGTGGAGTCAGAGACGTGACAGCAGAGCTGTGGAGCCAGCAGAAAATGGACCTTTGCCACTTATAGCCTGGAAGCCTGGCACTCTTGCCAGGGTGGCCCCATGGGAGGGCAGCCACAGGACACAGGATGCACCCTGCCACACGCGACTAACTCCTCGTTGCCCCCACAGCAATGCCAGGAGGCCCAAGGAGCTCTGGGGACGCAGGCTTTCTATAGGGTGGTTCTGAGCCTGGGGTTTGCTGAGATGGCCGCCCCCATCCTCTGGACGGTGGAGAGCTCCTTCCACTGTGTGGGTGAGAGTCACGGTGAGGATGTGCCTGCCGGCTCTGCCTGTGGTTCCTTCTCCCATGACAAGGCTTCCTCTTTCCCGGCCTGACAGGTCCCACACCCAACCTGGGGAAACGATGGTGTCAGGCACACTGGTTGGAACTGGCCGGGGAGTAGGAGGGCTGCGGGGAGCTAGGTGAAGTCAAAGTGCCGGGGAGGGGACGGGGGGCACATCAACTTTCTAGCTAGCTGCGGGACCTGGGCGACTCACTTCACCTTGTTGAGCCTCAGTTTCTTCCATCTGCACAATGGAAATAGCCCAGGACTTCCCTGGTGGCGCGGCGGATAAGACTAAGAGCTCCCTATGCAGGGGGCCCGGGTTCGATCCCTGGTCAGGGAACTAGATCCCACATGCATGCCGCAACTAAGGAGCCCGCCTGCCGTAACTACGGGTGCAACCAAATAGACAAATCAATATATTTTTTTAAAGTGGGAATGCCGCTACCTGTCGTGAGGACTGGAGATGATGGAGTTAGGAGCTCAGCAGAGTTCTTGGCACAAGATGAGCCACTTCTGTTTCGATTGTCCAGCGATCTGGCGTGGGCTCCAGTTCCACGGGTCACCTACCGCAGAGATCCCCAACCCCCGCGCCGCGGCCTGTTAGTAACTAGGCCACACAGCAGGAGGTGGACGGCAGGCGAGCGAGCAAAGCTTCATCTGCGTTTCCTCATAGCTTGCATTACCACCTGAACAATCTCTCCGCCTTCCGTGGAAAAATTGTCTTCCGCGAAACCGGTCCCTGGTGCCTAAAAGGTCGGGGTCCGCCGACCTACGGCACGGAGTGGGCTCCTTGGCAAGGAGCACTATTTGAGGTCACTTCTTTCTTCTTTTTTTTTTTTATTGGGGTATAGTTGCTTTACCACTTATTTCTTAACCAAGACAAACCCTCCTCTAAACGTGGTGTGTGTCCTCCGTGCCAGGATGCTGGGATTCAAGTCTTGAAAGGCGTTTTTGGTGAAAGCACAGCTACCAGACAACCTGGTATTCACAAAATCACTAGGAGCAGAACCCATTGAAATACAGCATAAGGAAATACACATAATTCACAAATGATGTCGATCACTTTCATCTTTGACTTCCTAACTGTCCTCAATAGAAGACAGACGCAAAGGAGATTTAACTCAGATGTTAATAGTGCAAGAATGCCCCGTTACCAGGATATGATGTTTCGGTGCTGCATAAAAATGTAATTATATTCAGAACTATATTTAAAGATTAAAAGGGGGACTGCCTACCATCCAGCCCCAAATTCAGAATTAGAAACAAAGGAAAAGGCGGGGCGGGGATGAGTTCTAACAGTCTGCTAAAAATGGAAATGTTTCCTGAAAGTTTTTACACATTTCGGCTGTTTTTATTTTAACAGTTTCCTGCAGCGATGACATTGATTTTGGAAAGGGAGGGCCAGAACTTTATCCAACAAATATTCACTAAGCATTTGCCATGGGTGAGGCCCCGTGGGAGGGAACAGAGGCCACCAGATTTGGTCCTTGCTTTCAACTAGTGGCCTGTCTGGAAGGGGAGAGAAGCAATGTCCAGAGAGTTGTAACGAGGGCAGGCGGGCTTGAGGAAGACGCCAAGGAGAAGGTGACCTTTGGCCTGGGCTTTGAGAGAGGGTAGGTTCTTGATAGGGACATAGACCCTAAAATACAAAAATAACTGCGGCGACAGCAATAAGAACATTTTAGAAAGGCGTTTTGGCCTCTCTGGAAAGATTTACACGAGGGAAGAATGCTCTCTTCCTCGTTTTATTAACTTCATATCAGCAGCCGGAATTAACCTCTCCCTTCCCTGGTTTCCAGCACACCTTCCCTGCACCTCCCCTGCAGCTTCTCCTCTTATTGTTAGTGGTACGTGCTCTTGGCTCTCCCTGCGGTCTATGAACTCCTTGCCATCAGGGGCCGTGCTCTATTCAGCGTTTTACTCTTCGTGGGCCTTATCATACTGCCTTGCCCTTGGTAAGCACTTAATACATGCTTGTTGGATTGAATTTTCACCAGGCATTTTTAAAAAAATGTTTTAGACAAAGAACATTTCTCTGGGATAATATGTGGCGACTATGTTGGAATATTAGGGCACTAGGATTGCCTAAGCACTTGGTGGTTACAGATTTTTTAAAATCTCCTTCCTCTCCGCCAAAAAGTGATTAGAACCTGTGGGAGAAATCCTCATTATGTAAGGTTGGAGGCGTCAAGAGCAGTGGAGGCAATGGAGTGCCCAGCCTGAGAAGAGAAGCCAAGAGGGTGGTTTAGCTACCGCTGTTTTACATTGTAAAGCAGGGGTTACTGGCAAAAATGCCTCTAGGGGTCAGGCAGGGAGTGTAAAGGAATGAGGGTAAGAAAATCCATGGCCCGAGGGTAGGATGCCAAAGCTCAGTGTAGGAGCCAGTGGGGAGTGGTGGGGACTCCAGTGGTGAACTGCCAGCCACCAGTTTTTTTTTTTTTCTTTTCTTTTTTAAAATTTTTGTCTGCATTGTGTCTTCGTTGCTGTGCACGACTTTCTCTAGTTGCGGCGAGCAGGCGCTACTCTTCGTTGCGGTGCGCGGGCTTCTCATTGCGGTGGCTTCTCTTGTTGCGGAGCACAGGCTCTAGTCACCCAGGCTTCAGTAGTTGTGGCACGTGGGCTCAGTAGTTGTGGCTCGTGGGCCCTAGAGCCCAGTCTCAGTAGTTGTGGCACACGGGCTTAGTTGCTCTGCGGTGTGTGGGGTCTTGGCCCAGGGTTCGAACCCGTGTCCCCTGCATTGGCAGGCGGATTCTTAACCACTGCGCCGCCACCAGGGAAGTCCCACCAGACCCTTTTCAAGAGAGTAGTCTCATTTAAGTGGAGCCGATTCCTGCCTTGTAGGGAGGCAGGCCAGTGTGGGCAAATCTTCTGACTTTCCAGGAGAAGCTGGAAAATTATAAAATTTTCTCAGTTAATTTTAAAATATTTAAAACCCTCTGCAGGCCAAACCAAACATGTCTCAGGGCTATATTTGACCCGTGAGCCAGAATTTGCAACTGGGGGTGCATTTTTGCCTCCCGGGGGGACATTTAGCAGTGTCTGGGTACATTTTTGATTGTCACAATGCAGGGGGACGCTACTAGCACGTGGTGGGTAGAGGCCAGGAATCCCCCTAAACATCCTACAGTGCACAGGAGCCCTCTCCCCGACACAACAAAGAATGATCTTGCCCAGGATGTCAACGGGGTCGAGGCAGAGTCTGGGTCTGTGTGGTTCCTGGGGCTGGGCTGATGGATTTGGCCGCAGAATAGGGAATGGCTCAGAGACAACACCGGCTGGTGGCAGCAAACAGAGGCAGAGTCAGGGACAGGTGCTCTTTAGAGAAAACCTGAAATCCTGTGATTCAGTTTCAGAAATAGGGACTTCCCTGGTGGTGCAGTGGTTGGGACTCCACGCTCCCAGTGCAGGGGGCCCGGGTTCCATCCCTGGTCGGGGAACTAGATCCCACACGCATGCCGCAGCTGAGAGTTCACATGCCGCGACTAAGACCTGGCGCAACCAAATAAATAAATAAAAAAAAAAAAAAAAAAAAAAAAAGAAATAGATTTTGATGCCTGCATGATCTCAAAAAGGACTCCAGGTCAAAGGTCTGTGAATTTCAGCCAAGGAGGACAGTTCCTAATCCGGTGCTTGAACTTAAACTCTAAAGCCTCTATTTCCCCGTCTGTAAAAAGGGGACCCATGTGGCCCCTCCAACAGGGTGTTGGGAGGATTCTGCTCCCTTAGGAGGAGGACTGACCTCTGTTTCCTTTCTGGGAGGTTTAGGAAGGGAGTTGTCTGCCTCAACTGCCACGCCAAGGACCACTCCCCAGCAGGAGCTCCTCCAGGAGGAATACGATCTGCTGCCTTTTCCCAGTTCCAAACTGCAGGACCAGCTGCCTTTGGAGGCCGGGAAGGGTTTCCTCAGAGTTTCGCTCACTAGCCTTCCCGTGCACTGGCCAATGGAAGTCCCTCGCCCTGACTTCCACCCACGGTTTCCCTTGAAGGGTGCATCCCCACGAGTCGTCAGTGGACCCCGCCAGGCACGAGGCCCCTCTCTTTCGCCACCGCTCTGCCAAACGGAGTCCCACTCAGACCTCCGGCCATGTCTCCTCCTCTTCAAATTCCGACTGTTCCCCAGAGAAAGCGGGGCTCCCCGAGAGCTCCCACCTGAGCGCAGCCCAGCTGTCCTGCCTGGCTCACAGCCATGCAGGGCCTTGGGACCCGGCACAAGGAGGTGGAGGGGAGGGCCCGCGGCGGTGCACACAGACAGGAGGGAAACCGAGGCACGCTTCAAAGGAGCTGGGGCCCAGGAGCCAGGCTGGAGCCCAGAAGCCGGGCCTGGAGAGCCAGCCTGAGGTCGCAGCTGCCACAGGCCTTTCCCCGGGCTGCCATCCTCAGGGTGGCCAAAACCACATCCTTTTATTTCTGATGCTTTTTCTCTCTCCACTGTTCTCTCACTGAAGAAGGGGCTTGGACCTTTTCTGCAAACAGCCAAACCTGTGGAAGAAGGTGGACATCTACTGGCTTCCTTTTTCCCTTTCCCAGAGGGTCAGGTCCCCCAGGGAAAGTGGGGTGACCTGGACCCCCTGCCTGCAGCTGTACCGTCCTCAGCGTCCATAGTAGTTGTCCAGTCCTCCGGGCCCTGGGCCTGGCCATGCCTTTGTCCTCAGATGTCTCGTTTCCAGCTGCCTCTCTGGGGGTCCCAATAGTCTCAGGCCATCTGTTACCCTCACTGGCAGTCTAGGAGCAGAGCCCCGCCTAGCTACCAGGAAGTCTCCTCCCTGGAAGGTTGTCACAGGGGCATGTGGCTGCCTGCTAGCCCATGAGGGGGCCCTGGCATGCCAGCAAGGAGGTCCAGCCATTGACAAAGCCCTTGATGACCAGCCTGGCTGAAGAGGTGCTGTGTTCCCGCTGCTCGCCTGGAGAGCCCCCGGAAACATCCTCCAGGATGGAAGCTGGGGGGCTACCCAGGGAGGGGCCGGAGGGCACCTGGACCTCTCATTCCCAGAACCAAGTCAGGACCTGGAGGGGACGCACCCTCCTTCTGGGGATGGATGCCACAGCACTGCCCCGGTGGTGAATACTTTCGAGGTGTGGTGGCGGCAGCCAGGCCCCAGTGGCCATCTGAGGGCCTCAGGACCGGAGCGCAAGGGGAGGCACAGGGAGGGCCCAGCAGGGCCCTGCCAATTCTTCCTGCTGAGCAGCTGTCAGCAGAGTGCAGCCACCTGACAGCTCCTCCCAAGAGCCATCCAGCCTCCGCCTCCGAGAAGCCCACTGCCTCATCTGTGGGAAAGTCATGCAGAGCCTGAGGCCTCAAGTCAGCCTGTAGCTGGCCAGTAGAGCAGGCTGAGAGGGGGGCCACACGCACGTCCAGCAACCTCAGAGCCTGCGGGCTCCCATGGACATTTCCTCACCCAGCCTGGCCGAGCCTAGAGACCCTTTCACTGCTGGCCAGGGTAGCCCCCGGCAGGAGCCAGCAGAGCCCACATTGGCAACCAGCCCGGAGAGGCACAGGCCTCCTGAGCTTCAGAACATCGCGGAGGGGCTTCTGAGAGACCCCCTTGCTGGGGTGAGTCCTGGAAGCACCCCAGGGGATGCCAAGTGTGGAAGAGCGTGGTGGGCAGCATCGGGGCACGCCTCCCACCTGCTTGGACTGCCCACGAGTGCAGGCCCCAACGTTTTTGTGCTTGCCCTTTCGCAGTTAGATGTGTGAGGCACGGGGGAGGGGGAAGTTTGCAGGCTCTGCAGCCAGGCTGCCGTGGTTCAAGGCCCAGTCCTTTCACTCTTTATCTGTGTAACCTTGGGCAAGGCATTAACCTCTCTGTGCCTCAGTTTCCCGATCAGTCAAATAGGGGGTGATAATAGTTCTTCCCAATAGGTCTGTTTAGGGGCAAGCAGGGAGATGGACACAGGCCTCTAGCTCAGAACCAGTGAGCCATTCTTTATTTTTTTGCAGTACGCAGGCCTCTCACTGTTGCGGCCTCTCCCGTTGCGGAGCACAGGCTCCGGACGCGCAGGCTCAGCGGCCATGGCTCACAGGCCCAGCCGCTCCACGGCATGTGGGATCTTCCCGGACCGGGGCACGAACCTGTATCCCCTGCATCGGCAGGCGGACTCTCAACCACTGCGCCACCAGGGAAGCCCAAGTGAGTCATTCTTGAGGTCATTACTGCTGCCGTCCTGGCAAATCAGAGAAGCTGAACAGTTGGGCTCCCAGGCCCAGGCAGAGGGGATGTTTGCTTATTCCAGGAGAGCATGGAAAGCCTTCAGCCATAGTTCAGACATCCTTCTGAGAAGGTAGGTGGTGATAAGATCCTATGATGTGAGAAGCCCTCTCCCCTGGGCCCCAGGGGGCCATGACCCCAGGTCTCTAAAGAACCCGCTGAGTGTTACGGCTTTGTTTTCATGACTCACCGCTCCCTTCCTTTTGTCCCCATGGCAGCAGCTGGTACCCTGCTGGCTTGAACAGCTCCGGTGACCCCTGTTGACCCCCAGGGGTGCCAGTGTTCCCAGGCTCCCTGGCCCAGAAGCCCAGCTGTGGCCTGAGCTAGAGTGGGACCCAGTGCTTCCCTGGAAGGGTAGCAACCCTACCCCCACCCCCAGGCCAGCCCATCACTGGAAGAGGGATTTGAAACGCAGCCAAGAAGAGGCCTTCGGCAACGCCCGCAACGTGAAATAAATAAATAAATAAATAAATAATCAGGGTTGTCTTGCCTGATGAACGGTCTCTGCCTCGAGGACGACTTCTCCCCCTGCCCCCCCTGCCCGCCCTCCCTCCTCCCTCCTTCTCCGGGCAGATCCATCCCAGGCAAAAGCTTAATAGCCCCATTTAAGGCTTTTCCTTTTCACCACGGAATTGAGCTGCTCCTGCCATTACGAGGTTTTCAGCTTCTCTCTGAAATCAAATTACTGACTCCATTTAATTTTTTAAAAGCTCGGATGATTTCCTTTCTTGAATCGGAGCCGTGACTCCAAGCCCGGCCCCCTCCCCAGCCCCCAGCCCCACCAGGTGTTTCCCCGGGAAGGCCACCCCCCATGCCAGGGCAAGCCTGACACCTAGAGGGGAAGCCAGCAGGAGGAGGACCAAGCCTCTGACCACTGCCCTGGACACCTGACTGGGTGGCCTGGACTGGTGAGGAAGGAAGGCCTTGACCTCCTCTAAGGCTGGCTCAGCTCATAGGAGCCCGTGGCTTCGGGGCTACAAGGTCTTCAGAGGCTGGTGGGGAAGTTGTTTAGAGCCCAGCGCTGAGGTCGCGTGGGCTTACCATTGGCTGGTTCCCCGGATCACCTGCCTTTCCGTAGAGCGTCTCCTGGACCCTACGGCTAGGTTACGGAGCGCGTCCTCTGTGCAGACACCGATCCAGCTTGGAAGGGAAGGGGGAATCGGACAGAGAAAGGCCCACGTGCTCGTGTGTGAAGGGGCAGGGAGACTGACAATAAACATACGCATGGATGTTTTCACACCAAGTGCTCTGAAGAGTCCTAAACATGCAACGTCGGTGGGGGCAGGTTGTGGGCTGCTTTGGGTGGGATGGCGGGGACGGCCCCCCCGAGGAAGTAAATCTGGAAAGGACTGGGGCAAGGGTGTCCACGCAGAGGCACGGCAGGTGCCAGAGTCCTGGGGAGGGTTGGAGGGACTGAAAGACAGCCATCTGACTGGAGGAAGTGGAAGGGACCAGGGGCCTGCCAGACCTGAAGCCTGAGGTAGGAGACCAGCTTTATTCTGGCTTTAAAAGGCTGGACATCAGACGGACAAGACGAGCAGCAGGGGGACAAGGTGGGGGGGATGAGAGAGGCCCCGTGAGAAGTGACTCCAAGGGGTCCTTGCTGAGGGCTTGTGCCACTCCTGCCCTGCACCTGGAGGACTCCACGGCCGCTGGTGATGTTTGAGACGTGTTCACATCTACCTCAACACCGGCCTGCAGTGTTTCTACCAGGACTCAGTCTCTGTCTCAAGTCTGTCTCTCCTCCACCCCCGATCACCTCTTCCCTTCTTCGTCTCTGCAGAGACACTCAGCTTGGGGACCTCGTAGACCAGGGACACATACCCACCCCAGAAAGTCCTGCCAACCAGGCTGACCCTTTACCAATCCCGCTCACGTTTAACCACCCGCGCCCTTGGAGATGAGACAGCAGGAGTGGAGTTAATGAAATCGCCTGCCTTTCCCTGGCATAAATGGTGCTTCACCCCCAGGCGGGCGGCGATTTGCAAGGCTGAGAGGGTCTGGGCATTAACTGTTCTGGGCACTCTTCCCAGCTCAGTGTTCTGTGCAGCTGGAACAAACCACTTTTCTTCTCTTCCTTCCCTTTGCTCTGCTCCGCCTCGGCTCAAAACGCGGACAGTCGTGTTTAATTAGAAAGTGATCGGGGTTCTCCGGAGGTCTCCTGTTCTCCCTCAACACGGGACAACCCCAGATCTGTGACCAGGGCTCCGGGTCCGCCAGGGCCTGGGTGGCTCTTGGGTCTGACCCACAGTCACGATGTACACGTGCGTCAGTGTTTTCTCTGCCCTGGGGACCTCCGGTTTTCCTGTTGAGACCTCCCTGGTCGGTCGTGCGGTCATTTGTTTATGGCTGACAGCTGATACATCTGTGATCAGTGAAATCCTGGCAGAGGGCAGCTCTGCCACTCCCGGTCAGTGGCCTGCCAGGTGGGATCTCAGGCAACCTGGGATTTGGGGGTAATTAGAAATCGGGCACCCCCACCCCCCGCAGCCTGGATCCTCAGCATTCCCCACACGACTCTGTGTGTCAAGTCCAGGGTCTGTGATGCGTTTATTGTCCTTCTCTCCTGTGACAGGGAACAGCCACTGGTCCAGTTTCCCTTTTGGGTTTTCCTCCGTGAGCACAAAGCCAGTTTTCACGCCCTGAAACATCCAGGCTCCTTGTTTTTCCCTCGTTGACGTTCTCGAATTTCCAGATTTTAGATGCTTCCCACGTCAGACCTCTTCCATCACAACACGCTCTTTCAGCCTTAGCTACAAGTCTCTGTTGGGTATTTGAATATTACTTAAACTGGAATTGGAGTCGTCAATTTAGTAATCCTCCAAATTACTGCGTAACCAGAGAGGCGGCGTGGTGGGAAGAGCTTTCTTCTGGGTGTCCTGCCCAAGCTGTGTGACCTTGAGCAAATCAGTTCACTTCTCTGAGCTCCTGCTTCAGCATGGGGTTTTTGGAAACAGGAGTAGTCGGCCAGGCGACCTCCGCTCTAGGGTGACGTGGGGGTCAGCCCCTGAAGATGACAAGTCAGAAGTCTCTAACGCAGGTCTGAGAGAACCCCTCACCCCGGAGGGTCCATCCTCCCCAGCTCAGCCCACCTCCTGACACTCCTGCTGCTGGTCTGGTCTCTGTGGGTGGGGCTGCCGGAGACCTCAGGCCAAGCCAGCGGGGGGACAAGATGGGGTGATGTGGACCGATGCTCATTCCCATGGAGCTGGCTACAGCCCAGCCCCACCTGGCACCACAGGTGACCTCCCCCCTCCTCCTCATTCCTCTCCTGAGGCCCAGGCTGTGCTGCCTCACATCCCAGATCTCAAAAGCCTCGGAATGGTGGTTCTCAAAGCGGGGTCCCCGGACGGGCAGCATCAGCTTCACCTGAGAACTCGTGAAAAATGCAAACTCTCGGACCTACAGTTCCAGGAACTCACGGGGTGGGACCCAGCAATCTGTGTTTGAACAAGTCCTCCAGGTGATTCTGATGCACATGGCAGTTGAGGACCACTGCCTGGGAGAATCTGTGCCAGGGACACCTCCCAGAGTCAGAGAATTCCTCTGCCTTCATACAAAGGCAGTACTTGCACTTCTACAACGTCCAGGTACTTTCCACCTCTCTCTGCTCACGGCATCTAGCACCATCCCTCTGGGGAAGAGAAGAATTGTTCTTCGCATTTTACAGACCAGGAAACTTGGCCTTACCCAAGGTCACACAGCTAATAGGAGAGAGAACCAGGGCTCAAACCCTGGCCTCCTCATTCCAAGGCCAGGGCTCCCTCCTGCACACCTTGGGTTTCTGCGGCTCCTTAGACCGAAGGAATAAACACATGTCCATTGGCGAGAAAGGAAATTCCTCCCTACAGCCCCCTCTCCCCCATTTCCAGCTGCAATCCCAAGAGAAAGCATCCAGGAAGCATAAATTTTGCCTGACGGCTGAATAAGAGCTCTGAAAGGAGTTACACGTCAGGGAGATGGGACTTTATTTCTCAATGAAATAGCCTTTTTATGGTTGGAATAAAAGTACCAGCGGGAGCCTAATGCCAGGAAGTAGCGAGCACATTTGATAAACTCCTTCAGCCAGGGGTGGGGCAGCCCAGGAGGGGGTGCCGGAGAGCGGGCCCCATGTTTCCAGATGCGAGTTTCTATTTAGCTTAGAGCCTGGAGGCTTCCAGGGGTCCCTCTCGCGGACCCTGCAGCTGGAGACGGGCTGACCCTGGACCGGGCCAGCTCTTTTGCTCAGCCGCTGGGTCCTGAGCGGGGCTGCAGTGTGGAGATCAGGCAGCAGGGGGCAGCATAACCCACCGTTCCAGCCGGGAGAGTGGCCGCTGGGTGGGGGGCAATAGCTGGGGGGGTCTCAGAGGCTTAGCCCTCAGAGGGGGTCATCAGCAGCCCACCCCCCCCTTATCCTGGTCCTCTTCCTCCTCCCTGGGCCTTTCCCATCCTCAGTCCCTTCGAAGGACAGTTTGTCACCCGTACCCTGCCTGCAGCCCCTGCCGGACCC